CTAGAATGTACTCATTAGTATTAGAATTAACAACGAGAATTGGGACAAAATCACCTGGTTTGTGGAATTGTATCTGATCAACATATCGCTTTTGTGTACTTAAATCGTTGATATCTAGAATTCGACTCTTGGATTTCTCAACAGTGTTCACCACGATTCCAGTGGCTAGTTAACGATCATTTCCACGATAAAATGCAACTACTGCAGACTCCAAACACTTCACATTGGAACGAAAAATTCTTCCCTTTAATTGCTTGGATGGAGTCTCTTTCGTCTCCGAATTTTTGGCATTTCTATATTGCAGTAGGAATGTGTTTGCTCACTCTCCAGTTCATTAAATGTTGAATCCGCAGTAGAACCGATGGCAGTTTACAATGTCCTGACGAAACTTTCCGCATGACCATTAGAACAAGAGTGCCTGGGAGCTGTGAACAGATGCTTGCACCCCATACCATTCAACCAGATATTGAGTGAGTCTGAGATGGTGGAGAAGATTTGTAGCTCAGGTGAGTCTGCAGCAAAATGAGAGCCATTATCAGCCAATAATACCATAGGAACGCCTTTCCGACTAAATACCCTTATTATTGCTTGAATTGTGAAGTCAGAATTTGGTGAAGTTGTGGAAAAAACTTCAGGTCACTTTGAAAAAGAAGCAATGACTACAAGTTCATAGTATTTGTTAAGAAATGGATCACAATAGTCTGCATGAATTCTCTGCCCGGACTCAGATGATACTGGCCATGGAGTAAACTTCGAAGGCTGACATTTTGACTTATGACATTTTCTACAATTGTTCGCTGTACGACATATATCTGAAATTATCTCCGGTCACCAGCATGTGTGCCTTGTCAAAGACCTAATTTTCTCAACACCTAAATGTTCACTATGAAGATCTTCAAGAAAAGATTTGCGTAATGAAAGAGGGATAGCAAGACGTTCATTTAAACACAAAATACCCCCAGTAGTAGTGGATAGCTCATCCCGCTTTGAAAAATAGACAGGCGATCTACGTTTCAGATTAACATTCCAGCCTTTCCGTATAGCACTGAGTATACGACCAAAGTATATACGAGTTTCTCTAATGAGAACTGGACGCCTCACTGGAAAAGGTTGCACCAAAAAACAATCTGGAGTATTAACAGATCTATCTTGCAATGATTGTCGAGAAATGTAGTCATAGGCACTCAAGGCAATACTTCGTTGTTGAACCATAGCAGCTGAGGAACGTGCTAAGGATTTTTCAGGGTGATAAATAAACTTAGAATTTTATGTTCAGTGACATTAGTGAATTCCTTCCCAAATAAATATTTATGAAGTCTTTTAACAGTCCAAAACACAGCTAATGCTTCTCGGTGGGTTAGTGAATAACCTTGTTCAGTAACAGTAAGCTTGTATAAAACACAGATAACTGGTCTACCTTCCTGCTCCAGAACTGCACCAATACCCACAGGTGATGCATCAGTATTAAGCACAGAATGTACACTAAGGGAGTAAGTTCGAAGAACACCATCACTTTGAAGAAACTTTAGGAGACTTCTCAGCGTGAATCCTGTCCCTCACCTGATTTGATTGAATTGGATGTCAAAATATTAAATATACAATTTTCAAGACAAGAAAAATTTCTAACGTAAGGGGAATATTATTGAAGAACGCTCACTTGTGAACGTAGTGTCGTAAGATGTTTTGGAGACGGTGCATTTTTTAGTAGAGCTAGTCGTTTCATATCTGGTCTAAAACCATTACCGTCAACTAGGTATCCAAGACATTCAAAACTAGATACACAAAATAAAAAGTTATTTGGATTCACTGTAATATTCTTCTCAATTAAATGGCGTAATAAAGCAATAAGTCTCTCGTCATGAACTACATTATCAGAACTATGAACAATGAGATCATCTTGATAAACTTCAACACCTTCAAGATCTCTAACTACTTTGTTCATCACTTCCTATGATATGGCTGGAGAACAACTTAGACCAAATGGAAGGAAATTGTATTGGAACAGACCAAAAGGAGTGTTAATTGTCGTCCAAATAGATGAAGATTGATCTAAAGGAATTTGAGAATAAGCGTCTTTTAGGTCAACTTTCGAGAACACTTTAGAATCATGAAGTCAATTTAGAACATCTTCAGCCTCTATCGTCGTGCACGTTTGCTTTAACAATTATGCCTTTCGCACACAAATCGTTTAATGTCTTATGTACTATTTCTCGAAGACCACAAGGAATTATTCGTTTTTTAAGAAAGACTGTATCACCCTGTACTTGAAGCTTTATAGGCTGAATTTTCATACCTCCACTGCATTTAGCACACGTAGCTATCAAATCTTTAAGTAAAGCATCATAATTTTCTTTAGAAAGTGGAAAAGACAACTCCATTTTAAGCCTTTTCAAATTCTTTAAACCCAGTGTTGACAGTCCTGTTTCTCTCACTAAAAATTCCCAAGGTATTTATGAAGAATTATCATCTCTTATCAGCAATTCACAACATCCTCGTATGGGCAGTCTGTGTCCAGTAATTCTTAATATCGATACTTCAATGGGTCGTATCACAACTTTAGGATCTAAAGATTTCAAATTCTGGAATGAAATAATGAACTCTATACTCCTGTGTCCACAATAAATTCATGACATAAACCAAGAGATGTATATAATCGCTTTTGAATATGAGCATTACCTTTCGAAATGGTAGACAAAGATAAATGATCATTAGGAACAGCTGAATTAGTGGGATCTACATTGCAAGATTTAGTACTGTAGAATTATGGTCTACTATGATATTAGTACTGCTCTAATAATAGACCTAATGGCATGGCTGAGCCATGCCATCCGATTAACGTCAATTCATTCAATTCCTTGTTCGCGCCTTCCCCATCGTTAGGTATTTCTCCGCGTTAAATATTGAATATCTATTTTCCGAGTAGTCTCGTGTTCAGCTTTGAGGATTGTGTGATTATGGTCTAATGCCAATACAGTACTACTTGGAGCAAAATGGACAGCAGCTTTGCATACTGACTGAATGTGTCCTATCTTACCACATTTAAAACATTTAACATTACGAAATGGACATGAATTACGAGAATGAAACTTTCCACATGATAAACATTTACCAAACTTGATCTCACCTTTATGATTTACTTTGTAATTCCTTGTTGAGACACCTTTCATATTTACACGAGAACAGGAATCACTGTTAAACGAACGCTAGTTTGATTGACCCTGAGATTGTATTTCATCGTGACGACTAAGCAAAGTATTGGAAATCTTCATTAACTGGATATCGAATTCATTCACTGCCTGGTAGTTAATACACGCAGTTCTAGCATTTTGAAAAGAACAGTTCGGCATTTTTAACAGCTCTCCTTCCAAACCCGGTATGTTAATTCCTGCAATTATTTGATCACTCAGTTGCACATGAAGTTGATCGCCAAAATTACATTTGGCCGCATGCTTCTGCAATTCAAGGATGAATTCCCTAACCTTTTAACCATTTCGACGAATCATCTTATGAAATTTCGCCCTTTCACGGCATTCAAAACTAGTGCACTTTACATGATTTAATAATAGTTCCTTAAGAGTTGCATAAGGAAGTGAGATAGGTTTTTCTGGATATTTCGATAGAACAATGAGAAGACGGAGTTGATCTGAAAAATGTGATGTATTTGCGCTATACATTTCGAACAATCTGGTCACACATATACTTGTCAAGGCATTTTTATATGAAAATTAATAAAGGTCAATAAAGGTCAAACAAACAAATAAAAGTACAACTAAAATAACTAAGGGGGGAGAAAGAATAAGAAATTGTCGCGTTATCCTAGGCCATAGAATGACTTAAGGATTACCAAGGTAAATTCAAGGTTACGACAAATTGTTTTTGTACACATAAGGGGGGTTTAAATTTACGAATAGCTAAGGCTTCAATAAACTTAAGAATTCGACCTTGACAATTTCTATACAACATTCTAAATGCTGTATTAATGTTAATTTTGTGCCCCGTCTCAATTATGTGTTTTGCTATTGATGAACTTGGTTTTCTACCTCCTACATTGATCGGATCATTTCTGGATATGCCAAAGTTTTTAATAAGCTGTACGCTTCTCTTCCGATGAATGTCAGGAAATGTGCCACAATTTTATCACCTTTAACATCTTTCTTGGTCATGCTCCAGATTTCAAACCTTTACAAATAATCCTCAAAAGCTTCAGAAGTTGAATGAATATCTAGCTGTTCCATCACAGGCTCAATCGCGACGCCATGTGATGATTAAGAGTATTTGAATTATAATACGAACTAACAATTCCAGAAATAGCGTAATCACATCAAGAAGTACTAGATAAGCACGAGCGAATGTACTGTATTTGGAATTCGATATCAAGTATTCTTCAAGTACAAAGGAATCATTAGTTCATTCAAACACCACAGGAACTCGAAACAACTGTCAACCGATATCAAAGTGAGAATCTTCTATGCGAACGTCAAAACAGTCCTACTGTACGGAACTGAGATTTGGAGAACTACCACAACCATCATCAGGAAGGTATAAGTATTTATAAAAAATTGTCTACACAAGATAGTCAATATCCTTCGGTCGGATACTATCAGCAACAGCCTTCTGTGAGAGAAGACAAACTAGCTTCGAGCTTAATAGGAAATTAGGAAAAAAACGTTGTATTTGGATGGGACACACATTGCGGAGATCACCAAACTGCATCACGAAGCATTCCCTTGGAATCCTGAAGGGAAGAGGAATAGAGAGAATGGAGAACGAATTGCGTTTAGAATTGAAAGCAGATGTCAAAAGAATGAACGACGAGTGGAAAAAACAAGCAAGGATCATCCACGATAGAGTGAGACAGAGAATCTTGATGGGTGACCCAAACTAATTTACAGGGAAGTAACAGGTATAAGTTATTTTAAATGCAAAAAATATGAATGTTATCTAGAGAGTCTAAAATGAAGACATCACCTAATTACTATAGAAATCTCCCGACAATAAATGATATCAGTCGTTAAAATCAGACAAGTAGGCCACCACTTTCTTATAGTGGTAAAGAAGCACATTTGTTTGGACGATGTACCAATCGTTCATATAGTTTCGGCGCGCTACTCTGCATCGTGGTGAGATCAGGAGTCGATGGTTAGTACTGTTATATTCTGAAAATTATCTTATTTGTGTTATAGTCTCGTATCAAGGCCAAAAAGACAAGGAAGTTGCGTGGCCACGTAAGTCATGGCCATGGACGAGTAGGTAAACATCGCAAGCATCCGGGAGGACGGGGAAATGCAGGTCTTGAACATCACCATCGTATTAACATGGACAAGTACCATCCAGGCTATATTGGTAAAGTTGGTATGCGCCATTATCATCTTAAAAGAAACCCCTACTACTGTCCAACAATTAACCTGGATAAAATATGGTCTTTAGTTTCGCAAGCGACTTACGAAAAGTATAGAGACTCCACTGATGGTAAAGCTCCTGTAATAGATTGTTTGCGCAAGGTAAGTACCAACATCTAATGTATCAATTGGCCCTTATAGGGTTATTTCAAAGTCCTAGGCAAGGGATATCTTCCGAAGGTCCCAGTTATTGTCAAAGCCCGGTTCTTCTCTCGGAAAGCAGAAGAAAAAATCAAAGCAGTTGGGGGAGCTTGTATATTAACTGCATAAATATAGTTTAGCATTGGATATTCCATTCAATTTTCTGAATGTGACTGGTGACTAACCTAGGTATGTATGTTGCAACAGCGTCAATCGACACCCTGTAAATTCATAGTCTACTATAAATGACGTACATAATGTTTAATCACAATTTGCCCGTGTAAAAGTCCTTCGGTCACTCAATCATAAGAAAACGCAATGAGGTTCCTGGCCTTTCATTCTCTCGGCCAACTTTAGCCCATGTAATGAGAAAGTAGTATCTTATTTATGACCGGTCGTTTTATTTGCGTTCACTTAACATCACAGTAAAATAAACAGAAATCTGTATATTGGGAATGTTGTCTGTTTGACACCCAATAGTGACTTGCTTAGAATTGGAACTCGGAAACTCCAGATGTATATTAGCAGTCTCAAACTTCTAAAGTAACAACCCACTTGATATATTATTTAAACTTTTGACTTCACGCTCTGCAAACTTTTCGACCACATCTATTATGTTGGCTCCAAACGTCAGTCAAAAGAAATTCCATGATTGATAGCATGGGCTTGACTCAAACTATAAGGACTTATTGTTTCAGTAAGGCTTTCGTGGTGATCAGGATATGGGACCTTACAGTCAGATTAATCACAGTTGTCCTTGCGCCTAGCGTCGTAACATATCTCCTATTCGGAACTATCTCAATAATAAATGGTCCAAATTTCAAATGTTTGGTCAAACTTGCGACTGAAGTAGACCAAACTAAGTCGTTTTTGATTGTTACCCAATACGCTCTAAATTCATCTCGTTCGTGATTTTATATTTCTAGATTAAATTAGTAGTGTCATTCTAGAATTTTCTCAAGTAGTAATAATAAGCTATACTAGTATTTGCTTCTCATTATGATCGAATTATCTATTGCACTGCTGCCTGAAATGTAAAACCCTGTTTGATCATTGTGTTTGGATTAAAACTAAGGTAAACCGACTGTGATAGTCAATGTGTCCCAACAAGTCGCAAAATGGCATTATATCTCAGAGTGCATACACACGCTAGGTGCTAAAATTATGTGATGACTCTAATGTCCTAGCACCATCTGATGTACTCATTATCGACGCATCTGTACTGTGTCCTTCTGCTAGTTCTAAGTGTCATCTACAGAGGGATTACGTTTCTTACTGCGTTCTCTTGTCGAATAAAATCGAAATATAGTAACGTATTTGTATAGCCAGACAGTGACTTTAGGTATAGTGAATTTTCTACTGCAATATAACTGAAAAGAGTCACCCGCAATTGCATAAAGTTACCTAACCAGACACATTAACGTATTCGACGTCTCGTCCAGTTTTACAACCAACGGTATATAATATAATAGGTGCAATTCTCAATGAAATACAAATGCCGTTGCTATTTGCTGAATCTTAACAATTAAATGACACACACTGTTACAAAGCCATATGGAGCTAAAATACTTAATAAATCAAAATTACCAAGCCAACTATATGTTACCTTACTCCGAATTCACATCATTATTTTGTACGTGCTGCTGCGAAACCTGTCAACGTTGTCCGATGCTTTCTGTGGATGGACTACATTTTCCAATGTCACAAAGACATGCTATTGTAAGACAGACACTACTGAACTTTACGTTAACACTGAAGAGTGGACGAGAATAATATGCCTACGATACAACCGGGATTTTGTTTCCCCTGCCTAGCTTGGATATCATGAGTTTGAATGGTGTGCGCGACGTAATCCCAACAAAAGCTTCTTAGTATTGTAGATTACTCCTGATCGCGTATAATGTAGTCCTTACTATATGGATATTTCACCTATTAAAACTCCCACCCAAGTGTTCAAAAATTTCATACACCCCACTAGTAGTTGTATGACGCATTACATCAGAAACATTCTTTATAACAATTGCACTTTGTTCACCGTGATTCCTAAAACGTTGTAGGGGCGAGCGGCGAACACTCTAAGTTCGACAGATTAAACCTGCAGATAATCCTGACTAGGCTCTCATTTTATTGAAGCTTTACTAATAAGTTTGTCCACGAATAGTCACCAACCTACTACCTACCATAATATTCCCTGTATTTTACAAAAGAAATTCATTGTAAGGAACCATTGCTTGTGTGTTTAGAACCCGAAACATGAAGTAACTTTATTGCTCGTTTTTACCTATATTAATAATTTTTGACACAAATCGCTGAAGTGACTTAAGTGTCGCCCGCAGATTTACATTTTAAACTGGCTTATCCTTCGGGGTTTGACTTTACTATGTGTTATGGAAGACAATTTTGCAGTTGGATACGTATTAATGCAGCCAAGGGTAGCAGGAGTTAGATCTCTTTCGAAATGCACCCGCACGGCCACGTACATACAATTACAGCCAGAGAAGTCCTACTTCATACCTTCTCATGTCGGGAGTGCTGTTCACTAAATTAAGATGACGAAAACCGGTTGTCTAGCGCTTTAACCGGGTTGGTGGGTCTACCTAGGGGAGTTGGTAAGCCCTAATTACAAACCAATGGTACAAACGGGCTCCAGCATCCTGAGGGAACAAACGGCGTTAGTTTGGCTGTGAAAGATCAGATCTACAACGCGTCGGTGAGAGCAATTTTGCTCTAGGCTCGTGAAACCTGGCCTAATATTTATATGTTCAAATAAATAATAAATTCCACAATATTAGTCTGAAGTCGATATGATTAAATATCCTACATCTACTTCATTCAGTGTGGTTTTTTATACAAATAAAGTGAACCATAAATGCTCTCAATGTCCTAGACTACTGGTCCGAGTGTATTAACTATATACAATCCCCATAGGTGTGATGACGACCTACTATAATCGTCATTTGAACGCATTAACGAGAGGATCGTTAGGTAGTACGCTTTGTCAAAAACTCAGATGACTACTTTGTACCATTCATTTAGAACAGTTTAGACCAAAGCATTCAGAGACCAAGATTTTACTTAACATTACTCACGAGAAGTCCGCTTTACACCATGTTATTTTGAGATTGTTACTTTATACCGAGGAAGGTCTGAAAATCGAAAGCAACCGTCGAATTAAGCTTTTAGAGTAACCGAGTTATATTTGCAAGATCGGAGTCTCGTCACAGCAATCCCTGGAAATATCAAAGTTCATGTAACGCCTATATTTGCAATAGCACATCCTCATAAACCAAATATATTGAAACCAAACAGCTATTTGATGCTAGTGCATAAGTCGAAGCATTTGAAGTAATTGAGTTAATAGGTGTAGGCGTTAAAGTCAATTTTATGAGTTTATTTACCAAGTACAGATCATTTCAGTTTGAGGTGACGGTTATTGATATTACTCGGTTGCCAAAACTGAAGCAGATGTCTTGAACAATCACTCGACTGACTAGGCACTATCATCTTACACTTAGTAGCAAGCGCTATTCAACTGTAATTTTGTCCAAGTCGCATAGAACTTGCCAGTGATACAGTTTAACGAATAAGCTTCTTAGGTGAGAATATTCAGAATTTTCACCACTATACAAGGTGAACCGTATGCATAACATACAGCTCCCAGCCAATAAGTCCAAACATCACATCAGTTTCAGCAAAATGTTAGTTACTAGCCCCCTCCATAAACACAGCTGAAACACGAACAGTCCAATCTACATGAGGTGAGTTAAATCCAGCCTTGTTAAACTAATTAACGACGTAACACTGCACAATACCAGTTCATATCATTGCATGTCCTACAGCACCTAGTTTTCCTAGTTCATGTACCAAACGAAGCAGAGTGCAATAGTTTCGTGCAAAGGTTATCATAAACTCCTGTCGAAACAAGTTTGATGGCACTTTCCAATGCTATGGAGGGGACTGCTTTTAGTTCATGATTTAAAGTCGCCAGAGTTTTTCTCATGTACTCATAATAACTGGTCATGCTGGGCTGTACTATTTTTCAAAACGCAATTTTGATTGATTCACTACCAACTCACATATACTCCTGACCTGAACTCGAATATTTGCGTCAGTGTTCTGTTGTTTGCTGGTTATGACAGTAACAATAAACTAGTTTTGAGACTCCTTGATTGCGTGACAGAAATTTTACGCTCAGCTTCGTCACCCAGAAGACTACCAGTGCGTTTTCACATCCTCATGGATAGTCAGTCGAATAAGCAGACAAGTTCTTTATCCGAATTTCTGCCACAAAACCAGTGAACTGTGGTTATGATAGCTGTTGGTCAATACGATAATCTGAACAAACACATCTTTTAATTGCACTGTCGATAAATTAGGTAGAACACGTTGCAAATATCATAAAGGTCAAATACAGGTATATTTATTTCGCTATTGATTGTATATGAATGACGATTTCCGACTATCTAGACTAATAGTAACAGAAAAATCCAAGTCTTAAACACTATCCAGTTTTTTTGGCACCATATATTGTACTACGATTGTATTACAGGTCAAAGATACTACGGAACATAAACGGTATAAACTCAACAATGTATGAGATACTGGGTCATTCTCGAGTTAATCCCAATTTCGTGACTGATACCATAGTCGCTATTGTTATATGAGCAAACTGCTTCAAAACACAATACATTTATATCTGTCAGTATTAGGAGTAACGAAAACATCTTCGCCTGGTGCAGTATACAAAATAAAAAGCTCCTCAAATCTGTTCAACTCGTTTCTTTACGGTACAGTTACCTGGTACACAATAGAAGGCAGCCGCTAACCAAGACTACGAAAGCATACACAGTAGTGACATAACATTCCAAATAATGCTTCTATGCATATTAGCATGAGATGAACAATTAAACGATTCAGGCAAGTTACTTTTCGTAGCAACTATAATGAAGCCATTCAATTTTTAACAGACCTGGTGCACGAACGCTTTTCATCTATTTTACTTCGATCAAGTACAAAAGTATGTACTTGATGAGTTACAACCACAATTGTCAGTGACCTAGACGTAAGGCTTACTTATATACTATTGTTCTCAAGTTTTCAGAATTAATTAGTGACGACCAAAAAATACATAAATGGAGATGAAGTTGGACCTAACGTTAAATTTCGGCAACATTATTAATCTAAATTAGTTTACCACTACTGAAAATGCTTTGCATTCTTCTGTGTTATGTCTGTACTTCTTGAGAAAATGCAAAAAAAGACAAGCCATCAAATAATGTAAAAGTTCGAAACCAGTGGAAAACATTTACTAAGAATATGATGCTGTGAGAAATAGTTTTCAAAAATAATGATTGAATTATTAACGACACAAATCACAGGTCATTATAATTTTCCGGCTATCCTGTGAGTGACTAGAAGAGATAAAACAATTAGGTTAAACAGATCCTACCATAA